TGGAGGAAGGCGTCCGCAGGGAGAGGCACGTGTCTGCTGGAGTGGACAGACTTCCTGTCACCCCCCCCTGCCCGGCCCCCCGAAGCCTCCGTGTGACCCAGTGGGTGTGTTCTGGGGCACAAGGCGGGGCCTGTCCCCCACACGGGCTGGGCCCCAGCCCCACACACCTGCTTTCACAGCACGTACCTGTACCTGGGGGCCCGGCGCCGACGGGGAAACGGCCAGCTGACGCCGAGGGAGTGCCCGCCACTGAAAGTGGGAGAGGACTCTTGGTCAGAGTGGACGGGAATGGAGTCTCTCACTCCCGAGGTCACCCTGCCCGACCTGCTCCCCTTCCTCGGGTGTCGCCCTGCACTCACCCTCCCGGGAGGCCCGCTGGTTGGGTAACTCCGTCTTGCTGTGCTTCCCAGAGGAGCCCGCTGCGGGGGCTCATCGTGTCTGTCCACACGGGGCGGCCTGGCCTGGCTGGCACGCGGGGGGTGGGCCGCAGAGCAGAGCAGAGATGGCGCTCGTCCTCCGGGAGCCTCGGGCAGCCCCCTGGGAGGAGCTCCCTGAGCCCCAGACTCACTTTCGGGGCGGGGGGGCGCTCGGGTCTGACGCTGCCCAGTGGGACGGGCGCCGGGTCCTGGAATCCAGAGCCATGCCTTCAGATTCCGGCTCTGCAAGGGCGAGAGCCAGGCCGCCTGGTGCGAGCTGTGCGCGAAGGAGAGACGGAGAGACGGAGAGCTCCCCGAGTCCAGGGCAGCGCTCCTGCAGCAAACGGGGAGATGCGCGCAGGAGGCCCCCCACGCTCTTAAGGGCACACAGGGAATACTCGGGCGCGAGTGTAATGCTCAAATGAATGCCCACAAAGGAACAGACACGGCTGAAGCAGCACTTGGCTAGTGGAGTCACCTGGCGCACAGTTAAAGCCGTCACAGGGGAGGAATGGAGCTGTGATTCAAGGCGCTGGGTGGGGCTTGATGAGTGGGACCCTCCACCGTGCGAGGCGAGCGGAGGGGGGTAGAAGGCGCAGGGACACGGGCAGCTGGAGCCCCGGGGGAGCACGCCGCCTCCCCACCCAGAGGCTAGGAGCGGTGCAGGCTCAGTCCCGCGGGGCAGAAAAGGAGGTAAACCCGACAGCACGGAATTTCCCTTGACAGTCGAAACGTAAAACCGCAGTGAGATAGCTTTTTCGTTTCTAAAGCCCCTTTCCCTGTGCCTTTCTCGGCGTCTGGCTCCTACTGTCGTTCTGTGTGGTGCGGTGGGGGAGGGGGGATGTTTTGGTGGCCCCCCGAGAGCTGATGGCGTGTCTTAGAAGACAGGCCACACGCCCGGCAGGAGACCTGACTAGGACACGCGTACAATTGCTTTATAATGCAGTGGGATCCGGCGTTCAGAAAGACGAGGGGTCGAGTTCACTCTGTCCGCCAGTTGCTGAGACCAGCGGCAGCAGGGCACTCGTGCAGAAGAATGACCGGGAAAGGGCAGGGCTCATGGTGCTGATGGAAAAGGGCACCACAGGAGAGAGCCAGAGGGGAAGGGGACCCTGGGTGTCTGCGAGGGACTGGGCCAGGGACTCGGCGCTTTCCGGATACACGCATGCGGGGGGCGAGGACAGGCGGGAGACCCACCCCCGAGAGGCTTGCAGACGGTGAGCTCGGGCAAGGTCTCGTGGAACCCCTGCCTCAGACGGCTGAGGTCAGGCGGCCCTGGCCCGGGCTCTTCGCCGGCTTGCCAGTGGGACGTTCCCGGCAGGTCTCTCGGCCGGCCGGGGTGCACCCCACGTGTTCAGACAGACACACGGAGTCAGCAGGACGGGCGTTCTGCGTGCGCTGGAGAGGAGTGTCGCTCTGCCGCCGGGGGCGGAAGGTTCCGCCCGTGCCCTTACATCCGCTCGGTCTCTGCATGGCATTGCCCCAGCCCTCTGTTTTCTTGCGGGTCTTTCTGGGTGCTCCGGGCACCCTGGGAAACGGGGTGCAGAGATCTGCAGGCTCTGGTCTGCTGCTTCCTTCTCCCCCGCACTGCGTCCGTGTCCGCTCCCTGCACGGGGCGCTCTGACGCTGGGGGCACGCGTATTTATCATCACCATGTCTTCCTGGCACACTGGCTCATTTGTCATCATATAGTGTCCTCTTTGTCCCTTGTCACAGAGCTGACCTAAAGTCTATCCGGCCCGATGTAAGTGCGGCCGCCTCCCCGCGCCCTCTGGTTGCCGTTGGCACGGAGTATCTCGTGCCTGCACGCCCACGCCCGGCCTGTGTGTGTCCTCACGCCCAGCGTGCACGTCCGGCAGACGGCGTGCGTCTCTCCGGCGCGGTCTCCCGCATCGGGCCACGCGGGGACGCACAGCAGACCCGCCGAGCTGACGTCTCTGTGGGCGGTGTCCCCCAGCCCACGTTCTGGAGGAGGCCGCGTTCCAACGCGGTGTCCCCGCTTCTCCGTGGCGTAACCGAGAGGACTGGCGGGCACGGGCGGGGGTGAGAGGAACCTCACGAGTGGGTGCCGCACGCTGGGGCACGAACAATCTCCCCGGCCCCAGCCGTACTCCAGAGAGGCGTGCGGCTGGCGACACGTGCAGAGAAATGAGCGCTCCTGAGAGAGCGGGCGACCGTGTGCAGTGCCGCAGGTTATCCCAGGCCAGGGCAGAGACCAGCCGCGCACTCGCGTGGTGGAATGCCGCATGCGTGGGCCTCTGAGGGCATCTCAGGCGCCCGCCCACCCTCCCGGACCCCGGGCTGCCTGCCCTGGTCGCCCAGTGCCCCTGGGGGGGGGTGGGTGCGCGGCGGCGGAGAGAGAGGGGGCGGACTGAGCCTGGGGTTGGGGTTCGGGTGGGAGGGGGGCTGATGGCTGTGGCAGTGGGACGCAGAGACGACCCGGAAGTCACAGAGTTCCACGGGTGTGACCTCCACTGAGCCCGGGTCCCCGCAAAGGGCGAGCGCTGTGAGCGTGAGTGAGGGGCCGCAAACCGTCCACCAGGAACCCGGGGCCAGGCCGAGTCTGTGTGTCTGTCCAGCAGGCGCCGGCCAGGGCGTGTTCCTCCCTGCACCTGCACCTTGCTCTCTGCCCCTGGGGGGGGCGCCCCCCAGCCCCCACTTTCACCAGCCCAGCTCCTAACCAGCCTCCTGGTCTGGGGCGTCTGTCTTTCTGGCGGACCCACAGGGAATCCCAAGACATGTTTTAAGTCCGAATCCCGCTAAACTCCTGCTGCCAACTTCAGGAGAAGCCGCTCTCCTGCCATCACGAACGACCGATGACCTCGGATGTTGAACTCGTTAATTAGTCCCTAAGTGATACCATGTGGCAAGCCCTGCGTTCTGCCCCTGAGGAGCCAGAGTCCACGGGGGGACACGTGTGACCGAGTGCCACTGGACACGGGAAGTGTCATAGTAGAGTCGTGACGACCACGGGGGTGGGGGACCGGCGGGGGCCAAGAGCCTCTTTTCCGAGGCTGGCTGGGAGAGCCTTCAAACATCAGACAAAGCTTTGAGCTCGGCCTGGAAACACGAGTCGGGTTCGCCGGAGGGAAGGGACAGAAAAGGAACTGTGGGCGAGGGGAAGAGCCTCTGGTCGCGATAACCCGCCTTGGTGTCCTTTCATTCTCCTGCTGCCGCCGCTCACGCTGTTGCCCCGGCTTCCTCCCCGCTAACGAGTTGGGGGGGGGGGGGGCTGATCTCTACGCCCGCTGGCGTCGGCGCGCAGCGCTGTCTCTCCGGGAGAGCAGCGCTGCGGGGTCCTGTCCGTCCAGGGCCTGGGGCTTCTCCTTCCTGTCCCTGTGGCCACAGGCCCCTGTGACAGTCCTTTTAGAGGTGGCGGCTTATCCCGGTTTCCACCCACAAAGTCCCAGCTCTGCCCACCTCTGCCAGACCCGGCCTTGCCGCCGTGGGGACCTGCTTGCGGTGTGGACTGAAATCAGCGGGGCGCTCGGTGCAATGGTCGTATTTGGGGTGTTTGGATGCGTCTACATTTGTTCAGAGGAAAGCGTCTTTCTGAACAGTGACGGCAAACTGAATTCACCAGGGGACAGCTCTTCGGGAGGTCGGCGAGGCCCTCGGGTTCGCGGGGGGCTCTGTGGGAATGCCGTAGGGGCCGGCGTGTCTGGGGAGCCCGTGCATTCCTATGGATGACGCGTTAACGAGAATGGTAACAAGTCAACAGTGGTAGCTGCGTTTCCGGTGAACGTGCGAACATGATAAAATAACAGATCCCGTCCACCTTCTGTTCCTTGGCGTGCTTCTTCGCCAAGAGAAACAAACGGTTGTCTTTGCAGGCGAGACATCCATCACGGCCCATGTGTACCTGCTGCGGAGTGACTCACAGTGACAGCCCCCCTCCCCACCTCGCCACCCTCCCAGACCCTTCCCGCCCCCTCAGCCCAGCTCCTCTGGCCGCAGCTGCTTCTCAGCCACAGCAACACTGACGCCGTGCATGCTGTAAACTCGCCCACACCTCACACTCAGGGCCAGGGCACACTCCAGCATCTCCGTGCAAGTGCGTGGCCATGGTTGCGTGCGCCAGCTCTGCGGCCACACCGCCCTCTTGGGCTTGCATGAGGGAGGGAGGACACAGGCGTTAGTTAGGAAGGCGCTCAGGGCCAGGGTACCCGACGGTTCTGGGGGAGGCATGCAGACGGCCCAGCTGTGGGGACGGTCCCCTTCGGTGCTCTGTCACCTTGTTCACAGCCGGCCCAGCGCAGGAGCTTTCTGGTCGCAGTGTCCTAACAGGGGTCTGATTTGAGGGCACAGGGACCCCATGCCCTCAAGGCGCCCCCCACCGTACACTGAAGTGACACCTGGGGTCCCTTTGCATGTGCTGTCCACGGAGAAAGCGGTGGTGTCGGCTCACTGTGGGCACTTCCTGATCACATTTGGGCGCTAACATAGAGGGGGAAAAACCCCTGAAACCTGTTCATCCCTCTGCATTTCTTTTTTATTTTTAGAGATTTTATTTATTTATTTTTTAGAGAGAGGAGAAGGAAGGGAGAAAGAGAGAGACAGAAACATCAATGTGTGGTTGCCTCTCGAGTGCCCCCTACTGGAGAACCTGGCTCGAAACCCAGGCATGTGCCCTGGCTGGGAATTGAACCGGCGACCCTTTGGTTCTCAGGCCGGAACTCTAACCACTGAGCCACACCAGCCAGGGCCCATCCGCATTTCTGTGGAGGGCCTGGCTGTGTGTTCAGGTGCCATCGGGATGAGCAGGCGGTCCACAGAGGGGTTTCTGGTCAGGCACAGGGTCCAGACGGGGGGAGGGCAGGGCCCTCACGTCCTCGGGTTGTTCCGTTGCTGGGGGAAGACCTGTGTGAACAGAAAACACGTTTTAAGAAAAGTGCGTGTGCAAAAACAGTCCTCCTTTCAGTGACGGGGAAAGCTGGCGTGGGAGGGTCATCTCCAGAACATGAAAAGCCTTGCTCCTTCCTTCCGTCCTAATCTGTCCCCCATCCATCCATCCATCCATTCACCCATCCTCTCTCTGTCTGTCTATGGAGTGCTTAGCGCGCTTCTTTGAGCTGGTGGTAGCATCTTCCTGGTTTTCTCAGGGATTAATGAGTTAAACACAATCTTCGACATCTGCTCGCTTTCTATCTGCCTGAGAGTTGTGGTTATACCCTCCTTTAAAAATGATCTCTGAGCAGCTACAGCCAAGAACACATTTTTCTAACTTGGTAAAGAGCAGTAAACATTTAAAAAAACACCTCACACCCACAAAACGTACTCAGCCCCATGGTTTTGTCAAGTGTCAAAAAATATATTTCTCTGCTTTCTTTCTTGACTTCCCCCACGTTCAGCGACAAGCCCGTGCCGGTCCCCAGAAGAGAGGTGACAACTTTTTGTGTGTTTGCTTTTAAACGAAGTCAGTGCTGGTGTGTGCGTTACGGCTCACTGACATCTGTGAATGTCCAGCCCATGGAAGATTTACCTCCCAAACTTCTCAATGGCAACACGCCGCCGCCGCCACAAGCAACAGGGCGCGTGCCCCGGCAACTCCGGGGGGCAGCGGGCCGCACCTTCAGTCGGCAGCTCTGTAGTTGGCGTGGATTTCGGGCTTCACGTCACACACCATGCTCAGGACCTGGGTGAGCACGCTCTCCGCGCACTTGCCGTAGCTTCCCTGCAGGCCCCTGATCGCCTCCAGCGTCTGCTCCTCCATCTCCTCCGAGGTGCTGCTCTGGGAGCCCAGCACCTGCCAACAGAAAGCAGAGCTCACCACGCGACACGTCCTGTCAACCCGGCGTGGTTCGACAGGCAGACAGTATTTTTCCTCCCATCTCTACGACTGTTCTCTGGTGTACACAGTATGTGTTTCTTTTCCAGACTCTTCTCGGAACACGGAGAAGATCACCAGTCTCGGGGGGGGAGGGGTACACTTTCCTGAAAAGGGGGGCCGGTCTTAGCAGGCCGCTGCTGTTACTGCTAAGGGGACCCCCCCGACAGTCCAGATGACGGTCAGCTCGCAGCCTTCGCCCCCTGCTGGGAAGGGGTTCCTCCACGTTTCTGTGTGTTTGCAACAGTTTCCGCTCAGTCTTTGTGTCTCCCCATTGTTCGTAAAACCGGGGGAGTTGCGCCTTTCAGAGGATTCTGCGGGGAAGCCCTCTGCAAAGTTGTTCTTTGCCAGGACTAACGGCCCACTTCGGATTTGCCTCCCGCGTGAACTTGGCCTTCCTTCAACATGGCTGGTTCAGGTGACGCAGTTACTTTTTGGGGTGCTGCCGTCTTTCTGCCGTGAGTGTTTGGGGGAGGCGCGCATGGAGTTTAACCCAAGAGACCCGCTCCTGCCTGCCACCCGCTTCCGGGCTGTAGAACTCGAGTAAGTTAATTCCAGAACCACATCAGCCCTCCGGGTCCTCGGCCTGAAATCCAGTGCGAGAAAGACTGTGGGGTTCAAGTTGTTTTCTGTTTCTATCCCAGGAACTAGAGGCTTCCCAGGCAAAGACAATCATCCGAGGAGATACAGCTCCTCACACATCAGCCCGGAAACCACTGCATTCTTATACACGCGTCACACTGAGTCTCTGTGACCGAGCGCGTGGTTTTCAGTGACAGGACGTCTTCATCGGGCTGGGCGGCATTGCCAGCACTCGGCAGCCACAGGGGAAGCGGCCCCAGGTTCTGACGGAGCAGGTCCGGGGTGGCAGATGCCAGCTGCCGGTGCTCGTCACAGCGTCAACACGCTGCGTTAGGACAACGTGGTTCTTCTCTGAAGGTATTCACTGCGGAGACGGCGCTCAGCATGGAAGCTCAGCCCCGGGCGAGGGACCGGCCCGTGGTCGGGAAAATTGTGACTTCTGCCTGCGTTGCTGGCACATTTGAATTTTCATCATCCGTTCGCAGGGTCAGCCCACACGGGGGCGCCCTTGTAAGCAGCCTGTCATGTTATGTCTCATCTTGCACAGTTAAACCGAGTGTCGTTTCTGAGTTTAGCCGATGCACAGCTGTGCCTTTCCACGGCGCTTCCTGGCAGCGCCCGCCGTGTGCCCCATTGGGGGTGCCCTTCCTGGGGTGGCGTTCCGGACCCTTGTGCCCGTGGGTAGTGTGGCTTCGGCCACAGGAGAGAGGAGATGAGTGACTGCAGGCTCCACGGGCCCCCCCCGCACCGCCTGGGGTGCTCAGGCGGTGCTCTGGGGGCCCACAGTGGGTGCTCAGCACCCGTGTGTCACACGGAGCGGGAGGAGCGGGTCTCCAGGTGTCACTGAGAACGCGTCACCTGCATCTGGTGCTCCGGTTGGCAGAAGCCCACAGCCTGAACGTTTGGGACCAGAAATAAAGGAGAAGCTGATAATTGGGTGGCGGGTAATGGTATGTTTGGCCCAAGGGGGCCAGGAAAGGACTTTTCCGTGTTTGTTTTCAAATCTCCAGATGCCGAGGCTGGTGCGGGGAGCTCTCCACCGTACGGACGGGCTGGCGGTGCCGGGAAGCCTTCCCCTGGCCCCCGCGTTTCCTCGTCAGTTGTTCAAACGTCCCGGTTTGAGGGAAGGCAGAGGCTTGGGTCCCACGCACCATTTCGCATTCTCCAGGCAGGGGTGTTCGGGTGAAACCAGGTGCACCCATGACATAAATTCAGAAAACACAAAGATACAAGAAATCTTCAGCATCCCCAGGGAGACCACTGTCAGGCCTGCTTAGGTTCACCTAACTTTCACTGCATCGACACCAGATTTCGTTTTCCCACCCGAGTCCGGATTTCTCTTTAGCGATGTTCTGCCTTCCCTGCGTCAGGCAGACCTGGTACGCGAGAGATGAGTGAATCTTTGACCCAAAATATCCTCCGACCTGCGGCCCGCGCTGGGATACCTGATTCCATCGGCGTGTCGGGGGACTCAACAAAACACGCAATAACCAGAGCTGAAAAGGAGCAAGAACAGCAACGTCCAGGCGCAGCACCTGTGACCGGCGGAAACGTGGCTTCCGGCGTCGCCCCCAGGCCCACCAGCCCCGTGGGTCAATGACGATGAGATGGAGCTTAGCAGCAGGGGCCCCGACACACGGAGGTCGCGGCCAGGGAGGGCGCTGGGCACCCGCAGTCTGACCACCGGACGCGGAGGCATCCAGCCGCAGTGCGCGGAGCTCCCTCCGCGAGCTTCTGATGGACGCGCTGTAGGACCGGCTTAGGGCTGCAGCCAGGCCGGCAGCGAGGAGCGTTCATTGTTCTCCCAGGCCGGGAACGAGGATCTCAGATCAGATTTACATCTTAGGACATTCTTCTGCAGACACACTGTCTCGAGATGTCACGCAACCCCTTTCTAAAATTGAGGCCAGTTTTGTTACTATTGGACAAGAGTGAGCACCTGCGTCAGACGTGTCCCCCACGAGATGCTGCAGCTGGTGGGCGCTGGGGGTGGTGACGTCCTCGGTCCCGACTGTCGTGTGAGTACAGGGCTCAGTAGGAGAGACGAAGGCGGAAAAGAAATGTGTAGTTTTTCATTTTTTAGTGAGTATCTACTGTGTGCTTCCTCCCGGCCGACACTCTGCCGACGCCGAGGAAAACGGAGAATGCTCCAAGCCAAGGGCCTGCCTTTTTGGCGCTTACAGTCCAGAAGGAAAACTGGAAAATCAACAGAAATTGTCAGTCTTTCGTATACGGAACAGTGATAAATGCTGTGCTCTCATGGAGGACTCGGTTCCTTTTCAACAACACACGCACGTTTAGGTGAGGTGCTGAGGATGAGGAGCTAGGAATCGAACCGAGTTGAGAGGAAGATCAATGGGTTTAGAAGGAAAGAGGACTCCAAGGGGCAGAGGCGGCGTGTGCAAAGGTCCTGTGGCTGGGGCCTGTTCAGGCCTTTGGAGGAAGGACAGGAAGACAGATGGGATGGGAACAGACCAAGTAGAGACACGGCGCATAAGATGTTACAAAAGACCAAAGCAGACATTGTTGCAGATGACTGAAAAGTCTTCTGTTTCCATACGATTTTCTTTTCCACTGGCTGGGTTCATTCAGGAACTCTTTCATGAAAGTGTAAGGACATGCTTTTTCCCACACCAACTTTTAAAAAAGATCATCAGTGTATGGCAAAGGGTAAGGACATGAAATGACCTCCTGCCGACAGGTGAGAGAGCAGGCAAGGGCCAGCTGTGGTGGGCCGTGTACGCGTGGATGGGCTTAAGATTCCTCTGTACAAATACTGATAGAAAAAAGAATTTCTTTTTTTGTCAAGTGGCCCACTTTATCCTAGAAAGAACTCTTTCTTTTAAGAACAGCCCATTGGAAAAATATTTCCTAACCTGGGATGCAAAGTACCTGTTCCGGCACAAACCCACACCTATTCCCACTAAAATCGAAGTTGTAAACAGAGGGACCCTTCAAACGGCTCGCAGTGCATCTTGCAAAGTCGGGCTTTGGAACGGACCTTTCTTTGACCTTTTACTGAGGCCGCGAGAAAGTATCATATAAACTCTAGTTACGGCACATGAGATCGAATCATTTCTTTTAGTCCATGTGCAACTGGAAAGGAAGACGTCAGGTCTGACAGTTTCATGCGCTTATTTTTTATTGTAAACTGCAGGCACTTTCAAAATGCTAGTGTGGGGAAGAGCATTCCTTTATAGTCGGAGGAAAATTTCGTTGAGTGACCCAGGCCATTTGGAAAGCCAGTCATAGGGAAATGTGCAACAATATCCACTTTGGTAGTTTGCGTATCTTGAATCCACTCAAGGAAAGTTAACCCAACGTTGTAGAATACTAATTATCGATTCCACTTGTAAACACTAATAGCCAAAAATATGTTTTCTGAAGTTTTTTTTCTTACAAAAAGTGTGCTTTAGTCAATAGTCTGTAGCCTGGAATCACACTTGAAGCAACCCCTTTGATTTTGTGTTTGAGAAGATCATTTTTCATATGTACTTACTGTGTCTGAAATAATCATTACTGACTCTCACTTTCGATGGCAAATCAAAAAGCCTCGAAATGGAAAATGAAAAATCAAAATGAAAAGCCACCCATTTGTCAGTGGTGAAGATTCAGCCTGTTGCTCAGCCTCGGCTGAGTGGGGCCGCTCCCTCCGGTGTGACTGCCGTGTTACAGCGTGCCCTGTGCTCTGCATCGCCTGGACATCGGTGCTGACCCTCTCACTCACCTTCGACTGTTTCATCCGAAACTCCTTGTCCTTCTGCATCCGGTACTGGTCGATCTCCACCATCGCCTCGTCCTTCGCTTGCTTTATCCGCTTTGCTTTCCCTGAAAAGTTAACAGGGGCACAGACGGAATGATGTTTCTTTTTCGTACACATGGGATTTCAAGCTTGATTTTTATAAAGATTGTATTTATTTATTTATTTTTTTTAGAGAGGGAAGGGAGGGAGATAGAGAGAGAGAGAGAGAGAGAGAGAGAGAGATATCAATGTGCGGTTGCTGGGGGTTATGGCCTGCAACCCAGGCATGTGCCCTGGCTGGGAATTGAACCTGCGACACTTTGGTTCGCAGCCCGTGCTCAATCCACTGAGTTACGCCAGCCAGGTCAAGCTTGATTTTTAAACGTACAAAGTGAAGTCAGCATTATTTTTTGGTGATTGTTTTTTAGCACAGCCAACCGCACAGAACAACGATATTGAGAAACTCCTTATCTTTCTCAGTTGGATTCTGGAGACCGTGGGAGGGACCACGGTCACTCACCCTTCCGTGTTTAGACGTCGCGTCCGCCCCTCTGCCGACAGTGGCAACGGCCAGAGAACAGATTTCCGCTGTCACTTCCTCGGAAAGACATCATCGGGTCCAATTTTCTGTCCTGGTTCGCCGCCAGGAGCCCTTCGGTCCTCGCCAACTGGATCCTATTTGGGGCTGGCGGCGGGCCAGCGCCCCTCGGCCACGCTGCTCACACTCTATCAAACCCGCTTCCCGTTTTTAAGAGCATTTTATGGGGATTTTTTTTTCTTGCCATTCCGCGACTCTAGCCTGTCTGATTAAGCCCCACGGCACATCAAAGTCAATCTTTTTTTTTCTTCTTTTTTCTGGTAGCTTTCTCTGAGGGGGACTTGAAAGTGGTTGTAAACCCGATTGTTTTTAATGGGTGGGAGTTTGGGGAGGTAGCGCTCCTTGCTTTGATTAAGAGAGGAGGTGTAAGCCCTCAGCCAGGGTGCAGGCGGTGCAGATGGAGGCCGGACAGACACTGCGTTGTGGGGTCATTAGCGACGCACAGGACTGATTTCTGACAACCTGAGGAAGTGGGGGCGGGGCGTGACAGACTGGTATTAACTGCTGCTGTGCACCCCCCCCTCCACCTTCAGGGGGTTAGGTACTAATGCTTTCTGATCATTAAAACTTTAAAGCAACTCTGAACCGTATTAACATGCTTTTTCCTCTCATCTACTGTCTTTCTGTTTCAGTTCAATGCCTCCCTTGTTTTGCCCATTCAACACAGTGTCTCTTCTCCGACAGTGTCTCCTAAGCTTTTGTGGAGCATTTTTAGCAAAGCTTGGTTACAGTGTGTAGACTTCGGACTAAGTAACTGTTTTCTGATGAAGTAGCATGAAAGAAAATCTTAACCCAAGTTTTTATCTGTTACATAGGTGCATGTTTTCATATGTCTTTGCTTTCAAGAACATTTGTAGCATTCGTGTCTAGAGAGTTTTTAAATTTGCCGTGCTAATCACCCTATAATACACGGACTGAGGACTCATCGAGTTATATGTTGAAATGTGGCTCTTAATGTGCATCAGCTTTGAATGGCAGTCTGTAGGCCTCCTCCAGAGCAGACACCTACCCGTCTGTATTCCCTTTAAAACCCAGAGTCTGGTGAAAATTGGTGTCCTCCTGGTGCTGGAGGCTGAAGGAGCATCAACAGATCTTTCTCCTTCCTCGCCAAGGCTCGTTACCCCCTTGCGTCCGTAGGATCCTTTATTCTCTGCCGGTCTAGCCCTTCCGTGGCAACCAGACACATGCTGTTTCACTCGCAGGAGAACCAGATGAAGTGTCGATAGGAAACACGATCCCTTGATCCCAGCCCACGTTCTCACCACTGCTTGTCATTACATTAGGACAAAGATACATTTAAGATGCAGTGACATTTCCTCAGTGGTAATGGGTTGTAGGATCTGTGACTATTTTATAAGATAAGTCCCAGCAAACAGCATTCCTCTGCACCTTAATTCCGTAATATGTAAAACTTTGCTTCCGAAGTCCAGACTCCAGCCCATACAAAGGAAAATAATAGTGACAGAAAATGCTGCAGCCCCCCTACCCCACCCCCAGGCGCTCCACGTGGAAGCCGAATATTAGCCCCACTCCTCAGCGACGGGGTCCGAGGGTCTGCGACCCCCCCTTCCTATCCTGGCACCGGTCACCCGCTGGGTCTCATTCCATTAAACAGGAGAGTCACCGGGACCCCGCTGCTGGCCAGCGGTTTCCTGGCCGGGCTCAGCGCTGCCTCGGCGGGGGAGGGACTGCGGTGATAATCCAGAGGGAGAAACGGGGCCCCCAGCCGGCTGCTCCCCTGGAGGCGAAGCACACGTCCGAGTCACATCTACGCGTCGCATGTCAGCCTCGAGTTTGCGGCGCTGTGGGTGGATGAGGATTTCCAGATTTTGAAGTTAGGCCTTTCTTGTTAAGCATGAAAACCGAACGGAGCCCCTAATCTTCTTTCTGCGTCACACGTAGGGATGGCCCCGTGGGATCAGAGTTCACGTGTGACAGTCAAATATTCGGTCCCAAAGTGCCCACATTGGGCCAAACGCTCTGCTTTCTGGTCTAGGAACTGCACGTGTCTCGTGCATCGTAGTTCACAAGCGGAGGTGGCCGCTGGGGACCGGTTCGCTCACCCACCCGCCGTCCCTCTTCGGTGTTTCCCGAGCGCCCGCTGTGCACGCTGCCCGGGCTGGGAGCCGAGGACACAGAAGCACCCACGACACGGCCCTGCCTCCGCCTGACACGGAACAGAGCATGTGGCCACCACGTGCCTGCTGCCACAGCTTCCAAGAGAAAAACCTTACAGTGCCTGAAGCTGTGAGGAATGCACAACATCGGCCATGAAAGCAGTGGAACACGAACCTGTCTTGGTTCTGTTTGCTCTGTGACCTTTAAAACTCACCGCCGTTAAGGAAACTTCTGAAACTCTCGGGCATCTCCGCCCCCCCTCCTCCCCAGTGGGCACGCCTTACGGTAACAGAGGAAGTCAGACATGTAAACGCGCAGCGGTGCAGAACTGGGGAGTGGTTTCTGAGCAGGGGGCCACTGCACTGAACGGCCGGGTTTGCCGGCCGGGAAACAGTGGGGATGGAGGGTCTGATTTGGGTATGGGCGAGGAGGCAAGAGGATCCTGAGCTACGTCCGGGGACTCTTTGTGAGTGGGTGCCCCTTAACAAAACCATCCATTTGCAGACACGTGGCCTGAGATCCGGGGGGATGCGTCCTGCATTCCGCCAGCCATCACAGGGACCTGTCCCCCAGGATGTTCTGTGGGAGGAAACTGAAAGGAGAGGAGAACGTTCGGATCGATTTTTCGGGTGATTTGTGGGGAAAGTGTTAAAAAGTCAGTTTGGAGCAGGGTAACGCTGGACTCCGTGGGAGACCGAGGGAAATGCTCGAAGACGGACTCTCCCTGGCGTCTCGGTTAGGAGAGGCCAAGGGCGATGCGTCCCACGGCGCCCGCACGCCCGTGAAGCACAGAGAACTGCGCCCCGTGGCTTGGGTTGGTCGTGGAACCTTCTTCTGAAGAGGAAGACGGAGTTTCATGGACCATTTCGGACAGATCAAAGTTAGTCCCTGCTACAGAGAGACAGGAGGAGCTACGCAACCTGGGGCGAGTCAGGGTTCCTGAGCCCGAGCTTTCTCAGCTGTCAACCAGATGGAATTACTGCAAGAAGTCACTGGGAGGATTAGGAAAAATGTATCCGAGGTGCTTGACAAAGAATATTCAGTAACTTGTACCCATTATTAGGAAAATAGGTGCCTTTGCTGGGGCCTGGGGCCAGGAAACAAGGCAGCAGGTGAAGTGTGAGTCTGAGGGGAAGCCCCCCGATTGTCAGTCAGCACAGAAGCGTTTGTCACTCTCTCGAGGGCGCCCAGGGGCCGGTGTTCAGAAGGCGGCTGGACAGACCGGTCCGGGATCCCGGAGAAGGGTCCGGGTGGCAGCAAAGATTTGCAGACGTGTCCCCTGGGCGTGGGTCACAGCAATGGGTGGGACTGAAGTCGAGGGGGAGTGAGCGGAAGGAGCAGGAGAGAGGGCTGAGGGCCCCACCTGGGGGGACACGCTCGCCCATGGGGTGAGAAAGCTGTGGGGACCCAGAGCGGGCTCACGGGGAAGCAGGTGACGCGATCGCGGAGGCAGAGGACAGCGCGATGCGGCTCCACGCCGAGGACCGCGGGCCCTGCCAGAAGCTGGAAGAGAGCACGGTGCTCGCTCCTCCGGGGCTCCGGGCGGCACCAGCCCCGCCGGCGCCGCGCGTCTGGACGTCTGGTTTGGAGGCCCCGGTTTGCGGTGACCTGTGCCGGCAACCCTCGCAATCCAACACAGTCACTCGGTGACAGAGAGAGAACCTGCCAGCTGAGTGCCGCAGGCAAAGCCAGGCACCCGAGCGCCAGCTGAGAGCAGGTGTCCGCACGGAGGCCTCACCGGCCAGCACAGCCTCACTGGCCATGAGGACGGGGCCACCCGGGCGTCTTCGGAGGTTCTCAGCTGCTCCTGAGAACCGTCTCCGTTCTGCTCCAGCCCCGATGGCACAACACACAAACCCACGGCACCTTGCTGGGGGTCGTTAATGTCAGCACAACACCAGCCTCGTGCGGAGAACGCCCCGTTTTGCTCTTGTTCTACAAACATCGGAAAAGGCAAATGCCGCCAGGAAAACGAACCTCCCGTCTGGCGCCCGAGACTGTTACCGAGTCCCAGTGCCGACCCAAACTGATGTTATTTCATGAATCTGCTTTTTGGGTCTTTAATTCTCCTTGACTTGCACTTTCCTTATTAAAAAATATCATAAGGCGCTTTCTGTGGCTCCTGGTTGCATATAACCGGACGGTATGTGTAGATGAAAATGTGGTTATTATTTTAATGTGACCCACTCGAAGCAATGGCAGTCCAATATACCCCGGAGGAGCCCATTAGTCTGGGCACCATAAAGAAAAGAGGAAGGATTTACGGGCCCACAAAACACTCAGCGCAGGGCCGGGAAGGCCTAATAGAACCGCTTCTGTTTTATTAGTTTATTCCACGTCGTGTCTTCCTGGACCAAAACATCCACGTGCACAGCGAAGAGCTTATTAAATCAAGGGGCTAGCTTCAATAATTCAGAATATCTGCGTATTTGGGGACAACTAGGCAATTAGCGGATTTTAAGAAGTACACGTGGCTGGCACCTTTAGAGACCGGCAAAGCTCATCCACGTTACTGTAAGAGCCCATGTGAGGTCTCGGTGCGATAAAAGTGGAAACATTGTCCTGCGTATTCATTTTGCACCGAAGGCTAAGTCCAGAGCCCCTCATAGAAGGCCGTGCTCAGGAGACGACTGGGGGACTCGCCTGCTTTCAGAGCGCGCCTGGAACGCGCCTGCCGGTTGGGTGTGCTCAGGCTGCAGACTGAGCATGCGCCTCGCTCACCCGGTCCTTCCCTCTGCAGCCCGCGATGCAACTTGCGGGTTTGTGCTGAGCAGAAGCGCTCTGCCCTGCAGCCGGCAGAGGGGACGGGTTGTTTACTTGCGGGAGAGGCTGCGTGCCCGTGTGGGGCAGGTACAGCACGGGCTCTCTGTGCGATGCTGCGTGGCGCGCATTGGAGCGCCTGGGGACGCCGCCGCCAGGGCGGCGCTGTGGGGCCGGCGGGGTTTGCTGGGGCTGTAACTGCGCGGGAGCGCGCTCTCCCACCGGGGCGTCGCTAGCAGTGCGGTCTCGCGGATTTCGGGGGAACCGGGCTCTGTGTTTCTCCTGCGGAGGGGACCCTGGACTTCTGATCAAATCCTGACCGAAGACGCAGGGCAACATCCAAACCGGAAGTCCGGGGCCGCTCCGAACCCACACGGCTCTGCGGCGGAAACGTCACCTGTCCGGGACCGACACACCCACCTTTAGGTTTGGGTTAATGAACCACTCTTTAGGCAATCGGTGCTCGCTGCAAGTAAGAGAACTGAAAATCGTGCCAACCTGCTGTGTTTTCATCTAAAGTCAACCAGACAGGAGGGCTCTTTTGCACATAAAAGTCTGTGTGAGTGTCTTAACTAATAAATGTAATTTATTCCGTAGTCAGTGAATGGAAGCAAATATCTCAGCTATTTTAATCAGCTCTCCAGCTCCCTCCAATTACAGGAAAAGTTGACTCAGAACTTGTGGCAGTTGTTTAAAAAAAAAATACTAGATTGTTCTGTTCTACTTATAGCAATATATAAGTATATGTTTGGTATAGTAAAAAATAACTCTGTAGCCTGTATTTTACTATCTTAGGTACAGTTTTCCAATCCTTGAGACATCTTAGCTATACTTTCATTTTACAAAAAGGAAAGATTGAAGCTCGGAGATGCTAAATAACGTATGCAAAGAAACAGAAGTTCATATAAAGAAACATAAAAAAAAAAGCCAATGCTTTTTGTGCACTGCGACCTCACATCCCGGCCTTTCCAGCCTGCTTGCTGTCTGCTCCTACGTACAGGCACCCACCCCCAGACCGTCTCAGCAGCTGGTGACCGCCCAGAGGGCAAGGGGCAGCCCATTCCACTCCCACAGACCCCCAGCCTCCAGGAGAGTTCCCGGAGCGTCAGGTCGGTGCCCCTTAGGGCCAAACATTTACACCATACACTGTGTTATGTAACAGCTTCTCAGGGATCTGAGGCAGTGCGCCGTAATGGAATGCATTAATGCTTTTGCAGCATAATACAGAAACACTGCCACCTCATTAACCTTGTATTGTTCTAAAATGATCAGCGTGTGAATTGCTCTGTTTTCGCTCTCTCTCCTTCTCCCTCCCTCTCCCTCTCCCTCGCTCCCTCTCTCTCTGCCTTCTTTGACTGTATATTTAGGAGTCCACTCCAGCGAGTACTCCATGTAGGCAGGCTCCTGGGAGGCTTTGGGATAAATGCATTCCAGAACGAGAAAGTGATCGTAGGCCTTCTAAGTGGTGTTCACGGTCGTGATGCAAGGGTCTTCACGCTGAGTCCCTATTTGGCCTTCATGTAGGTCAGATTGCAAATGAATCCCTTTACCGGAAAAACAAATGCAGAGAAGCATGGGCGTTTATGAAAGCGGAGGTGGCCTGAACCTCCCACCACGTCATCCCTCCCCTCCCTTCAGGCTCACTGATGCACCTGTCTCACCGGGGATCCTCCCAGGAAGCAGCTACACCTGTCCAGGAGCATCTACACCATCGTGGCTTGGGGGTAGGCAGCCCGCAAATACATGTTAAATAAAGTGAACGAAGGAGATTAAAACTAGCGAAATAGGAGAGATGCTGCAAGATCCCAGGCACGAAAAGGAATGCTCGCTTTGCCTTAGAAGGATGAAGACCTTGCGTGGTGGGTGTGGCCAGTGGAGTTGACACTACAAACTCCCACTGGCTGATGGCTGCCTAAGATAGCAGCCTCCACCCGGGGACAACTGTCCTCTAAGCCTGTGTTTTACGAGGCAAAGAGGACAGACTGGCGTTCCCCGGAACACTGAGTGCAGAGGTTAGTTGTGTAAAGTCAAAATAGTTTCCAAAATGTTTTCTAGGCCTGGGTATTTCTCTGACTGGTTGAATATTTGCTTGCATATCCATCAGCGGAGACTGAGAAATCGGTACCCAAGGACTCTCAAGTCACTGGCAGATACAAGAAACATCCGTATACAAATAACACAAGGCATTTTCTGACCCTGAAGACAGGAAGAGCTGTGTGGCTTTTGTCCTTGAACCTGAGGCTGGGCTGTTCAGGGTGGTTCCCACCTCCCACTGACTTACATGACTCGCAGAACTTTTCTGCTCAAACGACTGAAAAAGAAGACGTGATCAGTCAAAATCACTGGAATCCTACAATGATATTGATAACATATGTGCTCATCGATTGCCTACAGGGTCCCAGTGACACAGGTTGTCATTCCCTCTCTTCCACGACAAGCAAAGGTGACATCACGATCGCGCCCTAAAATAAGTCCTTCTGTGCTGGATGTTCTGACTGCGGTCGGGGACATTTGAATGCACAGCGAGGGAGTTTTGTCCCCTGAGTCACCAGCAGGTGCTGGCCAGCCCTGTTTTCTGTGGAAGTGCTCTGCACTCTGCCATTTTGCAATCATTTGCATGTTCCTTGTAGCAAAAGAAATTGTGAAGTATGCCAAGTTCGTCTCCCTTATATCTTTCTCCTTCCTCTCCCCTCTGAGCACAGCCCCTCCCCTCCCCTGCAAGGGACTGTTCCCTTTTGTGGTTGGCGACCAGATGGCTGAGTGCTCCCCCAAATCCTTTTGCCTTTGGAAAGGAAAACTGTTGGCCTGAGGTCCCCGCCCCGTTGGGCTGAAGGGGTGCCTCGCTCCCTGCTGCTCCTGCCCCCACACTCACAGGAAGAGTGACGTGAGCCCCAGCTTTACCCGTGGCCTCTGCCTTGCAGGACCTTGACTCTAAGCAGGAGGGGGACGGTGGACCTTGGGCGCAAGTGGGATTAAGCAGAAAGACGAAGGGGGACAGTGGGACGAAGGTAGGCACTGGCCCGAGCAGCCTGAGTTCGAGCTGCAGGTCCGTGACGTCAGATTACTCAGCACAGAGACGATGTGCGTTTCCGGTAGTGTGGTCGGCACGACCTTGGCTTGGAAATCAGGCCTCATGTGGACCCCGCCTCTAGCGTGGACCCTCTGTGTGGACGTGGGTGGCCTGCATAATTTCTGTCGGCACCCCTCCCCCTTTTGTGAAAAACGGTTCTCGGGACGGTTAGATAAGACGCGCACTGAGCACGGTGCCTGGCACAGTGTTTTCTATTTCTTAAAAACATTATGACTTTTTGCAAACGATGGCCTCTCGGTTTCTACACCCATGCAATGGGAACAATGGTAATTCCTGATTCGTACCGTTGCTGTGAAGGTCAAAGGGAATAGGAAGGGGCTGAAGCTTTTGGAGAAAGTTCTGAGAGTCAGGACACAGGTGCACGACTAAATACACAGAAAGTGAGAACCAAATGGAAGTACTTTAAAACCTTAGCGGTTCCGAGCCCCCCAGAACAGGACGAGAGGGGGCATGGACCACACTGTCCCACAGAAGCAGGCGCGGACGCCAACCGCGCGTCAGTGACATACCCTCGTTCCCTCACCAGCCCGTGGCTCCAGCCTGGACACAGTCTGCCTCTCAGTCCGGTCACACCATTGCCACACTGAGCTGCAGAGCGTTAGGGAAGTGGCAGGGACGGGGCAAGCCCCTGTCTCAGTGACTTCCACGTCCACGATCCTTTCCCAGCCCCTCGGAAGGATCTGCGTTAGAGACCTATGTTCCCATTGCACAACGGGGAAGACAGGACTGGCTGCAGTCTGGCAGGGAGAGACTCAAAACCCGGTTGGAACTGAGCACGCTGCTGGGGCCCATGCTGTCCCCACCGCCCGCCCACCACCCCGTCCTTTGGGTGACAGAGTCCCTCACAGCCACACAGCAGGGCACTCACTCTTCTTGGCCTCCTCCAGCTTGTCCTTGGCTCTTTTTTCTGCCTGAAGGAGCTGGTGGATGCCCTGGGACTGGCTGGTCATGGCCGTGCCCGTCAAGTCAAGTGGCTCTGTGAGCCCGGGGGAAGGGACAGCTCTGTTTATCCTTGCAGGAACCACCACGCACGTCAGTTTGTGGTGTCAACAGTGCGTTCTGCACACAGCTGTTCATGCCCAAACAGCCTGGTAGACCAGACAGCTGGGCCCCAAGGACAGCCCAAGGGTAGAATCCAGACATTCAGGTTAAGTCAGTGCAAGGAAGCCGAGAACCTCTCAATTCTGGGAACATCAGTTCTTCTATAGGAAACAAGGACCTTTTGTCCTGGAGTGCTGAGTCTATTTATTAAATATGATGAAGTGTCTTCCCTCTCCTTTCAACAAATAGTGACCTGCTCACCGAACTTTTCTTCCAGGTTCCAAGGTCTTTCTTTGTTCTTAGTCCGTGTGGTTCTAGCCATAGGGCTTTCTCTTTGTTTCTGGTGGTTCAGTAATGACTGGGACAACTTTGCTTACTATCTGCTAGGAAGGAGATTACCCGGCCTTGTGCAGACCAGCCGAGGAGCGATTCCCCTTTCTCTCCGGAGCTCGGGCAGCAGGAATGAACAGATTCGGGCACGGCCCAGCTCTCGGAGCACGCTGTGTACACGGGCCCCAGGGAGACTGGAGCATGCTGGCCAAGGCAGCAGTAAGGGAGCTCATAACTGTAGGTTGTGAGGTTGAACTAAAACCCTCTGAACATGCACTTCACGGGACTCCGTGCTTGCCTTCAGTGCTGCCCTAGGACAGGACGGGGAAACAAGTCCATCTTACCCAATTTGATTTGATCTGAGTAGACAAATAAGAAAGTGGGTCACCGTGGAGAATGATCAAACACTATTTATACATATCTAAAATTTTTATTTGAAATGAGAAGCTAATCTTTTGATTTACGGCCAAGACATTTCTTTCCCGAAATGATCTGCAGGTCAGATTTTCCTGGATTATCGCTTTCCTAAACCCCTCCCCTAGTATCGCCTCCGCCGTAGAAACGAGCTTCAGTTTCTCTAAATCACCGTGCAGATATGAAGACAGTTATAAAGCAATCTGACAGCTGCACTTTTAGAGACTTTCATGATGATTTCCCCTAACAGTTGGCTGTCCGATCACGGAGCTGTCCGATAGCCTGGCCCGGTGTCACGTGACGTGCACGTGACCTTGAGCAAATCTCTCCGAGAGGAGCAGCCTTCCTTTCCCCTCAATGGAGCATCTTTCCTATCTTTGTTCATGACCACTGAATCAGTTGATAATATTCCATTTTTACTGCATCATCACAACAATCCGTACAACTGGAATAGACACGTGGAACAGACTCTTGGCAAATACACATTTTAACTCGTAAGAGCTGAAGTGCAGGTAAGTCAGGGGGAGGTTCTTCAAGTTCAAGTTCAGCCCGTCTAGGGCCTGGGTTCGTACTTTTTCACTAACGCAGAGGACGGACAGCACCGTGATGTCTGTGAGTGGGGAAGTGGAGATCGGTGAGCGGTACTTGCTGTAATCTCGTACCAGCAGTACTCCCAGGGCACCTCCCGTGTGCATGGCTCTGAGTGGGGCTCGGCCTTGAACCGGAGAGGGCGGCTGAGTCAGGGGGAGCGTGGTTCCGGGACGGGAGTGCGGGGGCAGGCGCTCAGTGAGCGGTCGTCAGTCACTAACGTAGGGTGTGGGTGGGCTGCGTCCAGGTGTCCGCAGCTTGCTGAGAGCTTACCAGAGGTGGGCGATTTCAGCCGTATTTCCTCTGAGACCTCCCACTTTCCTATTAATGTTAAGACAGAGGTTAATATTAAGATTAATATTAATATCCCCTTTTTAAAATATTTATTTATTTTTAGAGAGGAAAGGGAGGGAGAGAGAGAGAGAGAGAGAGAGAGAAACATCAATGTGCGGTTGCTGGGGGCCATGGCCTGCAACCCAGGCATGTGCCCTGACTGGGAATCGAACCTGCGATGCTTCGGTTTGCAGCCCATGCTCAATCCACTGAGCTACGCCAGCCAGGGCTTTAATATCTCTTTTAAAAGAGATTTACCTTGATTTATTTAATCAAAGAGGTTTTCCTACTGCCTAGAAATGAAACCACATGACACTTGTCCTTCATGGGAGTGGCATAAGTCATTTTGGTTTCTATTTTGATGGTGTTAATGTTGATCATTTCTGTGTCAGTATGTAAGACACACGATTAACCAGTATTTATCACCATACGATGTTGTCATGATTAGTAATGATAATTTCCAGTGATAGATTGAGTATGCAGTTGCGCAGTCTGATAAAAATTCCCCGGAGGACGAGGGTTTGGTTTGTCAGATGAGGTGGAGCCACGGACCTGTCACTCACAGCAACTGTAAAAAACGGAAGTGCCAGAGTCGATGTAGCATGCATTCAGGTCCCTGCTCTTTGATTCTCTCTTCCAAATACTTTCAGATTTCTTGTTGATTACTGCAAAATCCAAAAAAACAACGTTACTAAAAAGGACAAATCCTAAAAACAAAACCGGTGCCCTTCGGAAGAGGGCCCAAGCGTTGAGTGGTGAAGGATTATACAGACACACCTCTGACTTTTGCTTGTTCTTAAGAAAAAATGTAACGTTGGATGTTTTGAATAGCTATAATTATACATTCAGTCAGTGCTCACTGTATACTTTTTTGGTTTCTCTCTTTTGAAGTTTCGTTTCTCCTCAGACTTCCTCTTCTCGTTCATGCCGTCATCACCGCTGCATGGTTCAGCACGCCCCACGGTTCTTCCTCTTTTGCCCGCACGGGTTTAGCCCTTGAATCTGAACAGTAACGAACGGGACGGTGATCCCTGGCTTCCCGAAGGCCTGGAGCTTTCAGGCGTTTTACCGTGCCGATCACATCTATTCTCTGCTTTGTTACCTGCGTCACTAGGTGCAGGGATGTGACTTCCTTATTCCTGCCTGGCATCCTCGGAATTTCTCCTCCCCTCTCTCTGTCCCAATGGTCACCATACTGTTTCTTTTCTCTCCAACACCAAAAACCTTCCTCCTCCTGCCTGGAAAATGGTGACTGCTCTCAAGGATGGAATTTTCTAGACCCTCCTCTACCTCACTGATTCTCCTCCACCGATCACCTTCTAACTCCCTGTGCACACCGGTACATCGGGGGGGCATGTCCCGAGCCCCACGTACTCTCTGTCACTCATGCGCCGTGAGCCCTCTGAGGGCTGAGGTGGCGCTGCGTTTGCAGGAGTCTCTGGAGCAAGGCTCTGCACACGGGGACACTGAGCATTTTTTTTGAAAACTTACGACGACACTTTCAGACAAAGTGTACAACGAACAAACTCTACTCCCTGTGAGAAGCTTCAGCGGGGACTCTGCCGTGTTTCAGACTGTGGTTTGGGGGAGCGGGACTTCTTCCCTCGAAGGAGCAAGTGTGTGTTTAGCAATTATTGTGAGGAAAGGGCAGTGGAGGTGAAAATATTTTCATTGAGGACGGCCGTTGCTTAGAGCTGAGAGAAGACAGCCCTAGCTCTGGAGACCTTACTCAGCGTTGCGTCCCAGACAGAGCCCCCCACTGTCTGCTCCTGGGTGGGTCCGGCAGACCTTCCACCTTCCAGTTTCGCTTTCCTGGAGAGCGCCACGTCTGCCTCCTGTCTGTGCCCGGGGCCTGTGAAACCTGACACTCAGTTACCCGCCCGACACACAGTTCCAGGCACCACGCCGTGGTCACCGGTGGCCGCCGAGCAAGGCTCCCCATCCCTCCCTGCCTTCCACGTGGGGCCTCAGAGGACCCGCTGTGACAGAAGGTACAGGGGCCACCCACAGGCGCAGGTCCGAGTGGCGGAGAGATACTGCTCCGTACGGGGGACAACAGATGCCCTGTGAACTGCGGTATTTCCTCATTATTTCCACGACAGTGACAGGACGCTGCCACTCGGGGTCTCGGCTCCGTGTCTCTTCTGCAGCGTGTTAAACACCCGTCCCTGGTGCAGGTGACGCTGCCCCTCGGGATGGGTCCGGGGCACGTCTGGGTAGTTCTCGTCCTGGGCCGTTGTCCCGAGGTGGTTGTGGAATTGCTCAGGCCCCTCTGCTCCCCGTTCTGTGACATCTTGGAGCAGTAGGGTCCCCTGAACTACGGATGTGGGTGTTTATCCAAAAGGATGGAAGATGGTTCTCAGCGCCCCACGGGGCCTGCCAGGTGGCCTGTCTACTCCTGTCACCTACCTCGAAGGACGCCACCATTCTCGACTCCCCTCCCCTGTCTAGTGGCTCCCGCCCCTCTGCTTCTGGGTTCCTTCCCGTTTTCTCTTCGTGTACACTCTGGAGTTGCCCAGGAGTCGCTCTTCACACTACTTCTCGTTTCTATCTGCGGCCACTCCCTGGTGACTCCCGCCGTGTGAGGGTGCAGCGCGGCTCCGTCCTGGGCCGCGAGGACCCTGAGCCTGGGGCCAGACTCCTGTCCCTGGGAGCGGGGTGGCCTTGGGCGAGCGCCGCGGCCTCAGCTGCCAGGCGCTGTGGGTGGAACGGCACCTGAGTGTGGGGTGCACCTGAAGGTTAAAGTGGGTCAAGTGTGAAAAGCGCAGGTCACGTGGTGGATGCTGGTGATGATGACGAGCCTTCGGGTAACGCGGAGATCCTCGCCCCGGAGAGCGTGGGACCCGCCGGACTTTCACACACACCGGGAAGTGCGGGCACTGCCACTTCCCCTCTGCGCCGGTCTCTTCCCCCCGTTTCAACACCACGGCGTCCAGGCTCCTTTCCTCGGGGGTGGTCGTGCAGATCAGCATTCCGGCTGTGCCGGTGAACGCCGTGCCTGCTCAACCCCCACGTGTTCACACCACACTGACCGGGGGACTGAGTCCCTGTGCTTCGCGCCGCTCCGCAGGGAGACCTCCAGAAGCTCCAGCTCCTTCCTTGGTCGGCGTCAGCTCAGTTGAGGGTGCAGTCCCAGCGACCCCGAGCTTCCAGGCCCGAGACCGCTCTAACCAGGGCCGTGGGCCACGTGACCCCGGCGGGCCTGCTGGCCCTGAGAGCCATTTTTCTGGAAGGTTTTATCAGGGAACCACGACAAAACCTGGTGGTC